ATCCGGTTGAAAATCTTGTTCTCGGCTTGTTGCCAAGACCGGCGATGATGACACTCTTTTGTGTTGTTACCTTTTTGAAGGGATCGTCGTGGAGAAACTCAAGACCTCTATCTGCTACCTCCGGGGGAAACCCTAAATCTGTAGATCGGATGACGGCGGCGCTCTGGTGTCGTTTCCCCCTTGTGGTCGTCATTCTTGGAGGTGTACACGGGCTCAATGGACCAGTGGGCGGCTTCTTTGGTGGAGTGGTGTTCATCTTGCTCATTTATGGCGGCGGATCTCGACGGCGTGGTGCAGTGGAGACTTGGTGCCCAATGCGCGGAGATGGACTCACGCAGAAGGAGGATGTCGTCTGGCGACATGGTGGTGTCGATGACAGAGAGGCCTGGCAAAGTCGGTGTGTTAGTTTTTGTTCTGAAGATGGATTGGTGGAAGACGGCGGCAATGACACATGAGAGTGCGTTGGACCGGTTTGTACCCCAAACCCAGTATGCGGCTCGGTTGGGGCCTCCGGCTTTAGATGTTAGGTTTGGGTGTGATGTCTGTTTGGTATAGGCTCGGATTATCGGCACTCCTTCATCAAGTGGTTAGGAGTAGTGACAGTTGTTACTAAGATGATGGCTTTGAACAAACTGATATACTATTTTGTAAGATCTTTATGAATAATTAATAAAATGGCTGCATGCATTGTCTAGATGCAGAGGCCGAATGCAATCCTCGTTTTCTAAAAAAACGAAAAAACCACAATTGTTTTGGATCGGTGGGAGTAGAACATATTTCGGAGATCTGCAGCCACATATTAGTTCTCAACATTTTTCCTACTGTGGGGCTGCTGACGTACGGGATAGGCTAGGATAAGAGGAACTTAGGTAGGTGCTGTCCACCTCACCTTTCCACGTACGTAGCTGATGCTATATACCTTCCTTCTTAAGTAAAAATCCATTATTGCTAGTTTCTTCAGATCCATGTATTCTTTTAAGTTTATAAAGCAGTGGATGCATGAAATTCAGAAATATTACTCCCTCCAATCCGAATTAATTGACGCTGCGTCAACTGATTCAGGTCGGAGGGAGTACTAGATTTTAGAAGTTCTGAGACACAAAACTCACCTCAGCTCAGCTCGGTAATCCTATTTCCTTTTTGCAAGGAAGAAGCTAGTTACAGTTTATTTATATGCAGGTCTCCTCTTAATTTTCCATGTTTGAGGATCAGGTTGGTTACAGTACTGTCTTGTAGGATAACTTAGACATAAGATTATTTTAAATCCTAAACAATGGTTCAAAGTGTTAGAGATACGACACGCAATCGGACACGATGAAGAACGAAATCAAACTCAGGAGACGCACGATTTTAACGTGAAAACCCCTCCAACACGAAAGGGAAAAAACCACGGGCACCATCCAGCAAATCTTCACTATATCGAAGGAGTTTACAAACACCGGGGATTTACAATTGATCAATTTATCCCGTGCGGCGGCTTACAAAGACTATATATAACCCCCGCAAAAAATAAATAAATATATAACACAGGTGATCTAGGTCAATACTGATCCATACCAAGCCTACCGGCAACGGGCCTCACTCCGCTCGCTCGTCAGAAGTTAGCCTTTATTTTTATACTTGAATTTCGATCATAACATAACACAAAGTATGAAATCGTCCATATCAAACACTTAAACTTTGTAAAACCGTTTACCTTCAATCCTTGCCCGGTTTTAGATAGTGGTTTTGCTCATTGGTGAAGATAATGCCAGAAAACAATGACATGCAAAGTTTAATTGAAAAATGAATATTGCCCGTATGTGTTGTGGTGTATGCGTCTGCGCATGTGTCCATTTATGTTGTACTCAGTGTTTTAGAACAGATTTAAAGCTAGTCGATGCACTAAGTTGTGACCTCGACCGTACATTTGTCATAGTCTGCACACTGCCGACATCGATCACTGATCCTATCACAGTTACCAGTTCACCTTTCCTGGAAGGAATGATGAACAAGGCCTACTTTACTGTAGCCAAAGAAACACATGAATAGCAGTACACAAGTTGTCTTCCCAAACTATTCATTATTTGCTCCAATTCTTTGCAAACTATCATAATATCATATTTTCTTCTTGGCTTTCTAAATAAGGCTGATAGTCTTGAAAGAGAAAAGATTCAGATTTTTTTTAAGGGGCATGATCTTCTGTAAGAACAGAAATTCCAAAAAAATAAAAAAGGCTGAACTGCTCTGTGTTTCTTACTCAATTTACTTGTCGTTGAGTTTCTGTCCATCATCTTGAGTTTGAGTCTCATTTTGGCCCTTGCGTTGGATACAGTATTAACTTTCAGCACATATCTTGTGTTAATTTTAAGCATTAAATTAACTAAAATGTATAGTGGGATATACCCTTTTCTTGCGATAACGTTGGGTGGATGCCACTAGGAGCAAGATTGAGTGGTGCACCACTAAGCCGAGGGTTCTTGTTGCTCAGATAATATCCAACATGCACTTAGACCCTAATTCACTGATGTTTACCATTGTGGTGAATTGGGAAAATTGCAATAATCCGGTTTAGCTACATGCATCACCCGATGCAAAGGGGAGGTCTTACCTCCTTGGAAAAAGGAAAATTGAAGATGTTTGACTGTCCTTTTTCTTTCTATATAAAGTAGCGGTAACTTCTTTAATTCTTGTAATTTCAAAAATATGTGTCGACACATGATAGGGCCACCTTTCCATGAAAAACTGTGAGAGGGTCATCGTTCATTGAAGTATAGAATTTATTCTTATTTACCAATCAGCAAAGCAGTAGAATTTTCTTCTTTTCCACGAGGCCGCCTCTTTTAAAAAGAACTTCAAGCATGTAGAGCATATAACTACCTCAAATAGAGCCTAGCAAGATTCATGGATTAATTCTCAAGTTGGCAACAAGTAGCTGCAACTTTTGTGGATCTTTTATTCTTTTGCCAGTGGTAGCTCTGTAGAATTTTGATTGGACGGAGCCGTAAATTATCCATGGGTAAGCTGGGAAAGGTGGAGGCAAGTGGGGTAAATTATTTTCAGGCATCTTTCATCTGATGCATTTGATCTTTATAGTTTATCATTGCAGAGAACAAATTCTCTTCATCTTTTCTCTTTAATTATATAAAAACACAAGGATATTATTAAGAATTGCAACATGGCGATTAAGTAAGTTACCTGCATGCATACATTGCTGTCACTAAAGATGATCTAGAAGACGTGAAGAATCAGGTCTACACATGACATTCGATCCTGTAATTAAGAAGCTAGCTTTGCTTTTGCGGGAATGTAATTAACAAGCTAGCTGGTAGATATTTTTTTCTAGTACATGAATATGACTTACATCAGTCAAGAGATTCAGGTCCTCGCTGGATATGCCTTGGCATATCAATTATGACTATGGTACTTGATATGATTGGTTATTTCGTTCTTTTTAATTTCAAGAAATTTTTAAAAGAACAATTCAACATACAACAGTTTTTTTTTCATTTGGCCGATAGTTGCAGCTTTTCGTGAATAAAAGACATGTGTGGTAGTCTGAAAAAAAATAGTTCTATAAAAAACTTTCTTTTGAGCACACGCATGCAAAACTATGACCAAACCCGGACCCTAACCTAAACGCCATCGTCGCCAAACCTGACGGCGGTGGTACAGATGGTGTAGCAAAGCTTCTGATTTTTCCTGCGAGAGGCTGCTGCCTAAGGCTGAAACAAACAAGGGTGAAATGCAAGTCAAAAATTCATATGCTTGCAACAAACTGAAAACTAGTCTGACTATTTATGAGAGTAGATTTTCTCCCATGCACGGCAAGTCCGGTGCCTGGATTAGTCCATTTTGGATGAGCTCGTGCATACAGCTTTTGACAGCTCCACCCATCCCATTTCCCATCCTTCTATATGTTTTGAACGATAATTCCAATTTATATATTTTCAGATTCATGTTGCTTGTTTCAGGGGCTTTCAAATAAGATCCATTTTAAATACATTTTGATGAGTTTTTAAATATTCGTTAAGTTTCAACTGCTGAAACTTGGTACGAGCGAACGACAAAATCGCAAGTTTCAAAAACTAAAACTAAAACTTGGTGTGCCTTCGCGCGGAATACAACGACTTTGTGGGTCGTGAGGCAAATCGGGCAGACGGACAAGTTTCAACTACAAAAACTTTTTAGAAACAAGGATAAATTTAGCAACATGCTTGCATGCATGCATGAGATCCTCCAAAAAAACATGTATGCATGCGAATCTCCAACCAAATGGATGGCAAGAATCTCTTTTCCCGACTATTTATTAGCTCAGCAAAACCAAAAACAACACCAACTACCGAATCATATGTGTTGAGTTTTCGTGCGTGTTGGTGCCGTGAGCATTCTCGTAAGCATAAACCGGTTGAGGATTAAACTCTTGTGCGGTTGTATCAGCTTGACATGGTGATAGACCTGAAATTAGGTTCCATCGCCGAAGAAAAATCGAATCAGGAGGCTTGAGACCTGAGGCCGGCATGGCTAATCAAGAGGCACAATTTTGGGCACGCATGCAAGGCCATGAACAGGTTTGAGACCTTGAGGCCGGCCGGCATGGCTAATCAAGTCGTCGTCGGATACGACAAGCGATTGACAGGCAGCTGGTAGCTAGTATGGTGTCACGAGGCACGCACGCACTACCTTTCGTCCTTGCAATCAGTGGTGCATATCTGTACCGGATCCACCACCACCGTGCACCCACTGACATCACCGCGCACAACGCCGCACTAGCTACATTTAGCTAGGTGCCACTCACTCTCTCACCTCGGCTAGTACTATACTCTTAGCTCTATATATAACCCGGTGGTTCGTCCAGAGTCTAGCTCCATCCATTAGCATCCATCTCCGGCCAGCAAACACAAACGAGCTTCTCTTTCTCCTCTTTCTTCAGGGTAATTATTTGGCCGGAGTCTGGGACGAAGCCGACGACGAAGACGCCAGGAGGAGGATCATCGGTTCATCACATAGATCGACCAGCCATGTGTAACAACAGCGGTGGCCGCGGCGGGGCGATGGCGGCTCGGAAGGGGCCGTGGACAGAGAACGAGGACGCCCAACTGGTATGGTTCGTGCGCTTGCTCGGCGAACGCCGTTGGGATTTCTTAGCTCAGGTCTCAGGTTTGCGCGGTGGCGGGTGATCGATCCAACCTGACCTCTACGGCCAGTCACCATTAATCTTCTCTCTTCTCCCTCTCCTGCTCCGGCGTGTTCTCGGCTGTGCTCCATGCAGGTCTCCGGCGCACCGGCAAGAGCTGCCGCCTCCGCTGGGTCAACTACCTCCACCCGGGCCTCAAGCGCGGCCGCATCACCGCCGACGAGGAGCGCCTCATCCTCAGCCTCCACGCCGAGTGGGGCTCCCGCTGGTCCAGGATCGCCAGGAAGCTCCCCGGCCGCACCGACAACGAGATCAAGAACTACTGGAGGACGCACATGAGGAAGAAGGCCCAGGAGGAGAAGATGCTCGCCAAGAACAAGGCCTCCTCCTCGCCGTCCTCCTCCTCCGCCGACTCCACGTCGCTTACGACGACGACCTGCTCGGCCTCCCCAACGGCCACGTCCTCCTCGGCGGCGACCACCGAGGAGGCGCCGCAGGAAAGTACTACCAACATGGACGACGAGGCCGAGGAGGAGGCCGCCACGTCGGCGAGCGAGGAGAAGAAGGCGGAGGTGGTGCAGTACTGCTCCCCCGTGGACATGGACCAGCTCTGGAACGACATCGCCGCGTCGGAGAGGTACCCGGAGATGATGATGAGCTGGGGCGTAGCCGGCCACGTGGTCATGCCCGCCCCCGCCGTGGAGCCTTCGTCGCCGGTATGGGAGTTCTGCGAGGATTACTCCCTGTGGAGGATCGACGACCAAGAGTACTACAACAAGATCGATCAACACGCTCTGAATTGAGAGGCTTTCATTACGTTTTTCTTGTTGTTCTTGTTCTTCCTAGCTAGCTAGCTTAATTGCACTACTTTTGTATTACTACTATATATACTAATTCGTGCAAGCATGTAATTATATGTAAAAGTTGAGTTGTGACATTATATTAGTGACAGCTGTTTGTGCATATGTGTGTAAGTGACGACTTATCATACTTCTGGAGAATCTGTGTTGCAAAATGAACTTGTCAAAATCAAAGATAGTGGACACTAGAAATTCTCCTCTGCTTAATTAATCGATGAGACAAATATTTTGCCTCCGTTTAAAAAAAAGTCAACTAGTTCTCCGGCATCTGCATATATAGGAGAGAGATGCACAAAGTCTGCGTTATGGTTTAAATCCAAAGATGGATAAAGAAAAAAAAGAAAAAAATGCTTGCACGAATCTTAGTGTAAAATTAATGGCATAGGACTTAGATGTGCAATATTTGGAACACATCTAGATATGCTTTAGCAAAACTGATTTTACTATACGCAAATATTTTTCTTTGTTTTATTCGCGGGTGTTACACACAAATAATTTTCGAGAGAACTTGATATTTATTCAACCTGTACAAGAAATATTCGCACATTTTTGCACGGCTAGATATTACGCAGCGCAAAGTGAAAAATGGTATAACTTTGAGGGTAGATATACGCGCAGACCTATAGATATCATCTTCTCCAGAAAATATATCCTATATTCCAAGATACCAACACACGAGTGCATGGGAATCCATTTCTGAAAAATTGCATGTGATCGAATCCAATGATAGAGCCCTAGCCCCATGTCAAACAAGCAACTTGCTAGATCAAAAGATGCTCACATCAGGAGGCCAGCTGGTACCTATGGAATAGCAAGAAAGAAGCAAAAAGAGGAGAGAGTGCGGGCTTTTGGTGGCCGCGCTACAGGCAGGCCGTTATCCTGCCCGTGGGTTTGCGTTTGGGGATTTGGAATGGGTCAATTCATGTCAGGACTGCGTCAGGCCTACTGGCTGAAATACGGTCCGTGTTACGGCTATGCAACGCCTAGGCGTATTCTGTTCGGCACACCCCCGCACCTGTTTGTGGGCCTAGAGAAATTATATATGTCAGCTGCACCAGAAAGTTTGGCCCATGATTTGTCGTTCGAAACAGCACCTTTCGCTCCCCATCCCCTTCTATTCCCCACAAGCGAAGGGCGGCGACGGATTTGCTCCGGCGAGATGTCGACGGATGGTGTCGAGCTCAAGGGGTATGAGTAATCTTCTCGGCTGTTCTTCTTCCATCTTCACTTCTGTGCCAAGTTGTCGTCCTGGATTTGGACTTCTGTTGCAGCTACGTGCTAGTGAACTTGACCGCACTGAAAAGTGCAACGCCCTGTGCAATGCTGATCAAACTGTGGTGAGCAGGTGAGGTGACATGACAACACGGCTTAAAGTGCACCCGCCTGCGCAAAGCTGTTCACACCGGCCCTGGCGCTGTTTCACTTTACGTCCACACTGATGCGGTTTAAATCATTGTTTCATTGTTTAAGCTAAGTTATGCAGCCTGCCATGAATCAGTTGGTGTGCCAATGACGACGCTGTTGTATGTCAGATTGTCAGTACACATTTTCTTAGCAAATGAAACATCAACATAAACCATTATTAGGCATGAACGTGGCATGATTTTCCCCTAAAAAAGGGCATGAACGTGGCGCTCCGGCGTGATTAATTGAGAATAATCTGTTTGTTCTATCGCATAAACCATTAGCAGTTTAGCACTAAACATGACGCTAAGCTATTTCGTGCAGAACAGATATAACCCAAGTGCCAAGTTAGTCATGATGCGTTTTAGAGCAAAAAGCATTGTAGCACTTGCTAATCCCGACAGACAGTAGTATTAGCATGAAACAGAATAAAAGTAATCAGTGGAAGGTGCGCTATGGTGAACAAACTTGTGTCTTCCCTGTGCGAAAATGGTCCACGTCCATACTTGAGCAACCAGTGGGCTCCGTTGGCCAAAAATCCTCCACGGCATGCATGCACAAGGGTGTGTACTGGTCTTCAGCCTGCGGCCGCTGTGCGTACATGTCAGACGAGCAGGAGCCTAGCTGCCTTTTGCATGTGCGTGGGGTCAGACGAGTTCAATACGAGCCAAAAACAAATCAAATACATGACATATACAACGCCAGCACGCATCCCCATGCACATGCAACGGCCGAGATTCCGGCCTGCCTGCAGCGCGGCCACCATTGGCATTTTTCGAAAGAGGAGACCTCTTTGTGGAGGTCTCTTTCCAACTTTTCATCATGTCCATGTCTGCCTTTCCATCCCACCAATAGCCTGTTCAAATCCCATCTGATAACAGTACCCTTTTCATCTTCGTGAATGGCCGATCCACACCTTTGCTCTCCTGGCAGGGTCCAGGCATGGGCACACAAGCAAGCTTCCGCCAGTGAAATTGAAAATCATATCTCCTTTTGTCACTGACTGAGTCATCCTCAGGGGTATTTTTCTTCCATTTCGTTGAAGAACGCCGATGGTATTTTTGTCCCGGCTATTAATTCCATTGGTTGTAGTTGTAGGCATGGCATATACCTCCACGGGATGTGCAAGTTGGATCAAAAAGGGTCAAGTGGCTTTGTGATAAGGGGTGGGGTGAATAAAAATATGGGGGCGGAAAGGTGGTGATAAGGAGCAAGGGCTGCCTTTGTTTCTTCTTTTGGGGGTTGCTTTGCTCCTAATTCTCATTAACCTGGCATTATCCCCGTGGTTTGTTTACACCCACTGGTGGTTCACCACAAGACCTTTTGGTTTAGTGTGCTAGTTACCCCACAGGAGATGATTTTTGCCACCGTTAATTTTGTTCCTCCGTTGTCAGACTGTTGCATTAGAATCCTCGAAACTTTCTGCTTGATTCTAACTTTTTCCAGACGGACTAAACAACGCATGACGACTGTAAATAATAATGGATTTGTTAATTCTAACTCAATTAAGATTTAATTAAGTCCCAAACAACGCGTGAAGATCCGTGCAACAAAAATTTCTATTATTTTCGCTTTTTGGTGTTGTGCTCTGACTGCAGACATTTGCATGCAACTGATTTACGTTTTACGTTGTATTTTACCTTTTTTTTTCTTTGGGTTATTCTTTTCTGGGTGCAGCTACAGTTGGACGCATGGCGGCACTCCAATCTCTTTCCGCTTGATTCTAACTTTTTTACAGACGGACTAAACAACGCATGACGGCTGTAAATAATAATGAATTTGTTAATTCTCAATAAATTAAGAATTAATTAAGTCCCAAACAATGCGTGAAGATCCGTGCAACAAAAATTTCTATTGTTTTCCCTTTTTGGTGTTGTGCTCTGACTGCAGACATTTGCATGCAACTGATTTACGTTTTACGCTGTATTTTACCTTTTTTGTTCTTTGGGTTATTCTTTTCTGGATGCAACTACAGCTGGACGCATGACTGCATCTGCACATTTGTCATCGGCCATGAGCAACTATGTGTTGGAAATATTAGCACATTTTTGACTAATCTAATCCAAAAGTAAATGATAAGCACGGCAAATGTATGCATCTCATAATGATACCTAAGCATGTGAGCACATACAATACATAGAACCGAAACATCTATGGATAGCATATATACGGCCGAGGCTTTCTTCTTGGCGACTTCGTCGTCAATCATGGATTCGATGCAGGGGAAGTAGTGGAAGCAGAGGCGGACGGAGACGGGGACGGATTGGGAGCAGTCAGGTGGAGACGCTCCCCAAAAACCTTGTTGCCGTTCTCCCGGGTATGATCTCGAATGACAGGGTTCCGGAGGCACCTGCTCTCCCGGCCAACCATGCACGCGGTCGTCGGGATGGGATCACCGGAAGCAGCACAGAGAGAGGAACATTGAACAGCCCACAACCGAGTCCACGAACAGCCCATGGTCCAACGTCTCAAACAGTGGCACTTCTATTAGTGACTCGTTAATTAATCCATAATTAATTAACCATTCCAGACCAGCAAAAATAAGCTTCGGATAGGCTTATTCCCGCAACCCGCGGCATTTGCGTGCATCGTGACGAGACGGGTGGCGGAGGAGGAGGAGCGCGCGTGTACAACTCCTCTTCTCAAGCTCCCAATGTCATGTGGTAGAGTAGCCCTTATAAAGGGGTCTCACTCTTCTTACTGTAGCAGTAGAGACTAAACTTCCCACCACTTGCCTTGCACCTAAATGGGCCTTAGAGATTAACCAAAGATTATTGTCTTATATGGTCATATGTCCATCTATAATCCATCAATCCCCCACCAGATCTGGAGGCACATAACTTTGTCAACTGTTCCAAACAATGTTTGATATACCGAATTTTCAGTGGAGACTGTTAAGTTGAACTTCCACCTAGAGCAACAAGATTATACTTCTTCACAACTGAACAATGGACTATGCCTTGAATTGTCAATTTGGCGTGTAGAAGTTTCATCTATTGTCAGCTGATACGTGGTTGTCGAAGGCTAAACCCCACAAATGGAGCTTATTAGTCACACTCATTACCTTCTCACGAGCTTCCTAGAGATTACCCAATCTCATAGACTATGACCAGCAGTCGGGCTCGCATAGGCGTGTTCCTTCAAAAAATGCTCTGTAGGTTAGGAGCTTGCTTACAGAAGCTTTGGAACACATTAAGACAAAAGTCAGCTTGTCTTACAGAATTGAGAGTATTATGCATCTCCAGCGGAGTGGGTTAATTAAGGATACTATAATCAGTTGACCATTGGATTTTTCTCCCAGGTCCTAATTCACGGGATCTCCAATCACGTAGGTTGGGTTAACCGCATGATAACTAACGTGGGTCTCATACCCCCTCCCTCGATGCATTTTATATCACAATCCGTGATAGCCTTTTCGTAAAGGGTCTGCCAGATTTTTAGAAGTTTGGATATAATTCAACGTTATCACTCCGGAGATTCTTGATTTTCTGACAGATTTTAATCTTCCTATGATGTGCTTTCTGGATTTCATGTTCTCT